AGAGGCCATTAACTATGTTTTTCTTGTTTTTTTTGCGTCCTTCAAATGAAGCCAGATGCTTTCAGTGGGGCTACTAAGTTCTTGCATTTCTATGCAGATATATAGTATGTGTCTCATACATATAGTGTGACTCTACCTCCCTTTTTGTCCTTTCTGTTTTTCATGAACAGGTAGTATCCATCAACTGTACAGTTCCAGTCATATGAGTCATTCCACAAAGTTGCAGTTATTCCTACAAGAACGTAATTGCCCTCATGTACTATGAGTGCAAGTTCATGTTGTTTGTTTCCCATACTGTGGACATTGGTGCATAGACTGAAGTTCATTTTTATTGTGCCCTGTTTTTCCCCCACTACATTTTTGGGAGGCTGGTGTTAGGCCCTGTTTGAGGTTATCTCTCCATTGAAATACCCAATTCTGTTTCAGGTGATGGTATGCTGTGCTGCATGTCTTCCTCCCCTTTATGTTTCAGTTTAAAGTCCTCCTGATGAACTTCTTCATGTAGTGGTCAAACACATGCTTTCTGTTCTTTGTGAAGTGCAGTCCGTCATGTGTCAATAGTCCGCCTTCCATGAACCTTCTGTGTGGTTCCAGAATCCAAATCTCTTTTTATGGCACCACTGTCACAGCCAGTCATTCACACAAAGGATTTTCTTTCCCTATCAGTTCCTCTTCCACATGCAGGATTGGGGAGAATACCTGGACCCCAATGTTTTCAATTTTCCTCCCTAGAGCTTTGAAGTCTGATGTCATTTCATCAAAGCTTCTCCTCTCGGTGTCATTAGAGAATCCCAGAGGCCTTAGACCAGCCGGGACAGCATGCTTTGATCTGCTCAGGTAGGAGTCAGGAACCCAGGTACATCTTGAGTATGTGCTCAGTGCTCCTTGCTTTCAGGGAAGAAATTTCCCTGTTTGTTCCTACAAAGACATGTTGCTGAAATGATAGAAAGGGCAGAGAGGTTGCCCAGCGAGACCTTTAGGGACCAAAGAGTAGTGTCACAATTCCTGGGTGACAGCTCCTCTGCTGTCATGTAAAATGGGGATATCAGAGAAGGATAGCATCATTCTGAGGAAGAGGGAAATGAGTAGATAAATAAATAAAGGAGATTTATTTCTTGGAGGATAAGCAAATGTTGTCTTGTGCCAAGGATATACCTCAAGACTGCCAGTGCAAAACATCTAAAAGATGGAAAACATTTTTTTTTTTTTTTTTGCTTTTTGCAGACTAGGGGAAAACCAACATGAGCTGAAAAGCATTCAGTTTAGGTAAATCATATTTAAGAAATGAAGATGGGAAAAAAATCTGATGGTCCAAATGTGAAAGGAGAGGAAATGGGCCATGAGCCTAGGGTGAAACATGCTAGCCAGTAAAAGTGTCAAAGCAGAAGTTTTACAAGCCAGAGATGTCAGGAGAAAGACACTATGCATAGGTGTTTCTGTACAGATCCTAGAAGCCTCTCAGCCAAAATTTTAAAAGTTGGCATGCCTGGTTTTAGAGGAAACCTGGTAGAATTGGAATCAATGGCCTTATACACCCCATCCAGCTCTACTCTTCCATGATTCTATGAATGGAAAGAAACAGTGGGATATAGTCATGTCTAGGAAGGACCTGGAAGGGCATACTGAAGGAGTTGTTACTCTGCAGATCAAGGATGGCATGGAAGCCAGCAGGCTCAAAAAGCCAAAAGGTGCAAACTGCAAACTTCCAAAGAACTGTGGGTGACAATACCTAGCTTCAAAATTAATTTAGTACTAGCAAAACTCCATTGGCCCTTGGAATGCACAGGGTGATCTTGAGATGGCAAATGAAATCAAGAAGACCTCCAAATGAGGAAGCTCTGTAATAATGGGTTACTTCGATTATACCCACATTAACTGGATAAATGGATGGTCTGACAAAACAGTTAAATATCTCAGTGTCCTAAGTGGTTATGCCCTAGAATAGTTGGTCCTGGTTGGTCATAGTACCCTGTGGAATTGAGCAGATGGGACAATATTTAATCTAAGGTGGGAGTTTAATTGCCAAGGCCTAGTATGAGATGTAAATGTTGTTTAAGCATTTGAAAATAGTGACCACAGTGTAATCAGATTGGTGCTGCAGACATTTAAGTGGAAAATTACCAGAGGAGTCCAACGCAGTCACATTTGACTCCATAAGAAGAAAATACTCTTCAATCAGGTACAGTTTAAAAGAAAAAAAGTTGAAAGTGGGAGTCAAGTGGCTTAAATTCTTTCAAAATACTTGGTGATTACTGCCAACTACAATAATATAAGCTCAGACAGTATGTACACCATGAGTTAGGAAAGGTAACACCAAGCCCAAGGGGTCACCAACATGGCTAATGAGTGGTTTAAAGGAAACTATTAGAAAGGAAGAAAACTGGTGTAAGGAAATAAAACCTTGCCCGAATAAGAAAAGCAAAAGGAACCAGAAGCTTGCATAAGGAAGAGTCAATTAGATAATAAGACTTACAAAAATGCATTTTGAGAAACCTATCTCTAATAGCATCAAGGATAACAATAAAGATTTTTTAAAAATCAGCAGCAAGAAACCAGCTGGAGAGAAGTTGGACCAATGGATAATAATGAAGTCAAAGGAATATTAAAGGAAGATAAGGAATTTGCAAAGGTGCTGAGTTATTTTTTTTAATCTGTCTTCAGTGCAGAAGATACAGGTCAGATACTTACACCTGTTTTCAAGAACAGACGTTGAGGAATTAAGGGAGAGAGCAGTGACAAAAGATGAAGTTGTCGACTTTATTGACAAATTGAAAGTTAATAAATCACTGAGTTTCGATAATATCTATCCTAATGTCCTTAAAGAACTTAAGCATATGGAATTGCCGACTGTTTACAAAGATATGCAACATTTCCCTAAAGTTGCCTCTGTACCAGTGAGGGACTAGTCCGAAGTCTCTAAGTAAGCTTCATGGCCAAGCACAGACTAGAGCCCAAACCTCCCCAGTCCAAAATTTTGCTGACTACACTGCACTGGCTCTAATACTAGAACCCAGGGTAATCACATAAAGCTGACTGGTGGGATATCAGGACAAGTAAATTGAATGCTTCTTCACATAGTGCTATAGGGACTGGGTCTGTTTTCTTATAAAATACAGCATTCCCAATTGAATACCAAGGCTTTGAATGGGGAAAAGAGATGGGATCAGAATGCTCAGCTGAAATATCAAGGCCAGCAACCCTGAGATAACCAAAGCACTTCTGTTTAACAGGAAATACTGTGGAACAAGGAGGATCAGAGATGGAAGGGTGTAACTTTCAGTCCAGTGATTCAGTATCAGGTCAAAGAAGCAGGCCAATTAATGTGCCACCTGGCACACAAGCAATAGAAACCTCCCTGAGGTGCAGCCAACTTTTTTGGTAGTGGTGGGAGGACAAGGGAGATTCAGCTTGGAATCAACTTCTGGCATGGGCTCAATAACTTGATGGATGCTTCTTGCTATAAAGCCTTCCTATTACTGTTGCAAGCTGGTCCCTTCCCCTTTGTTCCAAAATTCAAGACACTCCTTTGAAAATGGCTAGTGACTTTACTATTACTGTTTCTTAATTTTAAAGATGATTGTTGGCTTGAGAAACAATATATATTATGCATGGGTGGTATATTTCATACATTAGGAACACACACACAATACAGTTGAATGCTGGTCATCTTGGACTGCTGATGTTCTGATTCTGGAGAACTAAATATATGAACAGGTGACCATCCTGGTCAAATCCAGGAGCTCTGGGCAACTGTTCAGCAGTAGATCTTGGAGGAATGTCCATGTCCGCTGAAAGGCTTCACTGAGATTTGTAGGACTGTATTGACTTACTTTGAGAACAATATTGGCCAAGCAAATATTTTCTGGATTATCAAACCTTGACAAATAAGGGATTAAGTAATTTATAATGAACGACTAAAAAGGGACACAGTTAAAACATGATTAATTTTGCATTTATTGGAATAAATTCTAAATGCTTTATCCATTTGATGTTTAAGAAAAGTGTTGACTTAGAACTTGTATATCTTAATTTTTGTCGGTATCCCATTTTATTTCAAGTGAGATTACACAAAGCCAGCTTTGAGGTATGCTGCTTTAAATTAGGAAGTCATCAACTTAATATTTTATTTCATTTGAATTATGAAGTTATCCATAAAAGAAAAATGTATTATTAATTTTGAATCAAGACATTATCCATAAAAGAAGCAAAACCTCAAAGGTGCTGTAACCTTTAAATCGTTGATCAGAGGGACTGATAATTTTCAATCAAGGAAAGGCCCAATGCACAGCGAATCACCTACTTCCCTAGGGGTAACTGATATACTATTTATGCACTTCCTGGAGAAACATTAAAAAATTAACGTTGCATACTCTCGGACTCCTTCACCAACTGCCATCTTCTCAATGTGCCTACTTTTCAACTCAACCCAATTTTTTCATGCAAATGAAAACATTAACATCCCCAAAGTGGGTTGAGATGTAATGCAAAAAGTGTGTTGAACTGTGAATATTATTTCCAACATGTCATTTGAGGAATTTAGAATAAAAGTCAATTGACAAGAGGAAGGTTCTGATAACTCATGGGAGGAATTCATTTGCATATCAAATGAATAAATATACCCTAATCTTCTGTTTGCTCCCATGTAAGTCTCTCTAAGTGCTCCTGGGAGAAAAGATAGCTAGAGGAGCCGCACCAGTTTTCTCCCAGCATGCTTGACTAGTGGAGGGAGAGAGAAGATAGGGCTACCAGGGAAACAAACTCTAATAACTCAGCTCAGTAAGATATGCTGTGTGATAGTGAAATCTTACGATTACCCAGTCCTATTCAGTGGGAAAATACTTTTGAGTCTCCTATCAGGCCTGCATCACTGGCAACATACTGGAGCTATTCAGAAAGACAAATAGGCTGTAGAGGAATATATATGCAGTGAACTGGCATCATAAAAATACTCAGATGTGTGGTTTAGCTGTTCTTTTTCTTTGCTTTTTGTTTATACTAACTTCTATGCACTTTGTTGGCATTTCTGCAGGTTTGTTGTCAATCATGAAGCGGTACCACCCTTGTGGAAGTGAATGATCGCAGACCATGTCCTGAATAGATGTTTCCTGCAATTCCAGAGAATCAAAACTGATGCTACGATAGGCATTGTGCAGAACATGATGGCCTTCTGGCAAGCATTCTGGAGCTGAAAACAAGAAGAAAAACTATTTTGGGGTTTGTCATTTTGTAGGTAATAAGCAAGCGGTTATTTGTATCTGTGGGTTTGTGCTAAAATCTTTAAGGGTGCAATCCTATGCATGTTTAGTCAGAAAAAAGGACTACCATTCCCATTATGCCTCTGCCAGCATGGTGGAAAGATCTGTCAGAATGCAGAGATCAATGGTGCCTCTGGAGCAAGAGGCAAACTACATGTAACCTTCAGTAAATGACAGGCAGGTACATTTGCTCTTTTTCAATACTCAAACTTATTGTGGGTGACTCAGTTCCGATTGTGATCAGAGCATGGTGGATCCACCCTGAGCAAAATTGGCCCTCTCCAAATGAAATCTGGATGGTGAAATCTGGAAATATGTGCCTGGAAATCTGGATGGTAAATTTTTTCCACTGGAACAATTCCCCCACCCCCCATGCAAATTACACATCGGAGGAGATGCAGATCTGACTTAGGGCTAAAGAGGAAGAAAGGGTTAAACTCCCACAAGCCCAAAAAAGGGTCCCAATCTGCACTTATTTGGAAGTAAAAGCGGGAAATACATATTTTGAATTTAAAAATCATCTTTTGTTTAACCCTGAGTCACTTTGCTGATCCATCCTATTTGAAGATGACAACGATGGTATTTATGTATTGTGTAAAGAACCAGGATCTTGTAATATAAAAGGCTCCTTCTACCTCCTTTATTGAACAAACCCAATTCTTTTTAGAAAGCAGTGAAAGTACAAAGGCAGCCACAGAAGAATGCGCCAGAGTCTCATCTTCCTCATTCATCACCACTGGAACCGTCAGATAATTTCACACTGTGAAATCTTTATTACTGGCAATGATGTAAGAAGTTGAAAGAATGGTATGATTTTTCACTATCTCAGTTTATATATGCAAAGATGTCACTTAGAGCCACCATCATTTGACTTGGAAATCGGGAATGCTTTATATTAAATCACTGAATGAAGAAAATATGCATGGCATTCTCCAAGACCATATTTCAAATGTCATTTCCCAAATTGTTTCTGATCCCCCTAGTGCTCCAACTGTGTTAAAGGAACAGTATCAAGAATTGGTGCAGCTGTGTCTTAGTGTTTTACCAGTGATTTGGTGAAGTTCATATATCATTTCATTTCACCCCTTTTCTTATTAGCTTTACAAGCATAATATCAAAAAGGTTGAGATTGCATCAGCTGTTTTAATCTAGGAAGTTTAATGTCTTGGTAGCAGAGACAAGATTAACACAGAGAAAAATGTATCATCACAATGCTCAGAATGCTTTAATAAAATAAGTAACAGAAAGCAAATCTGTTTGTTCCATTTTGATTTCAGAAACAGTACACCACTGTGTTTTGATTTCATGCTCGCTGGTTATTTTAAAAGCATGATTGTCCTTTTTTAGGGAAGACTCTTCATTTCCATGAAACCACTGGAAATTGCTACTCAAAATGTGGACATTACAGACATTATTTGGTAACAAAAGTGTTGTGTTTGGTTGCCCTGATTGAGAAGCTGCTGGTCTTTGTGCCATTGGTATGCCACAGTTATGCCATATGACTGCCAAAGGGCATCCGATCCAGATATTTTCAGCCTTAGAGGAGACTTACTGAAATCAACTAACAAGACACATTAGCTAACTTGTATCCAGTTGCTTTCAATGGATTTACTCTAAGCATGGCATGGAAATGTTTCTTTGATACATTACAGAAAAAAATCTAGAGTTTTGAACAGAATGATATGGTGCCATAATACATACAGAGACCACTACCGTGCCCACAAAACTTCTTCCCCTTTTAAAAATTAGTTTTAATAAAAGTTTTGGAAAACGTTAAGGCAATGTTGTTCTTTTTTAAGCATCTAGACTTATTCTTTCTTTCCCCTCTGTCCTTTTAATTTGCTTGCCCTCTTCCTAGCCTTTAGCCTTGCTACTTCCTTCACCCAGACCACTTTTAGCTAACTTTCAGCTAGTCCAACTTCCACAGTAGCCATTGGTTGGCTTCACATGACATGATAAACAATGTTTCACAGGATTTTTCTTTTTAATCATGATGTTCCTGACATGTGGTTTCTGTCCTGTTGTGGTTTCCATCCTACATATTCAGTCCTCTCACTGCTGGCATGTATCCCATCAGCCACTATGCCTGAAATTCAGTCCCAAGGTGCATTGTTACCTGCCTTGGTTGACTGTCCCTTCCTCATTGGTCTGTACCTAGAGGCTGCATTGCAGGAGTGGCTCCTGCGATTGTTCTTTCCAGGTGATTCTGTGGTAGTTGCATATCAGCATCATGGAAACCATGATTCTGGAGTTAGACAATCCAAAAAGCCATGGGTATTATGGAGGAACCATAGAACAAACCAGTGCTTCTTATCATTTCTAGAGACCAAAATTAGGATGGCGAGATACCATGACTAGGTTTGGAGAACACAACAATAGTTTTTAAAAAATGCCATGGTTTGTAGTCTTGTTTGAACCCAGCCATTATGTCACTACCTACATCCACAATCGAAGCCACTGTGGGGGTGACACCCACAATAGTTTCTAAAATCCCCAAATGTCCAAAACAGTTGGGTTGGGGGCTTGTAAGTATACATGGTTGGTATGACCAAGGAAGAAATGGGCCTCCAGAACATAAATGTTACTTATGTGGAATTCTGCTCCCCTCAGCATGAAGGATGGGTTTTGGTTTATTGTTGTTGGTATTATACTTGCAATTACTGTTTTTTATTGTTGTTGTATGTTTTATGGATTGTAAACCACTTAGAGGGCCATTGGGCTCATTCAGCAGCTAATAAGTCTAAAAATAAATTAAAAAGGTGGATTGTGAGGTAGATAAAAAGATCATGGAGCAAACTTATCATGGAGCAAAAGGGCAGAAAGAGCCAGAACTGTCTGTCATCAGCTTACCAGGAGATTTATAGAGTTATCTCTAAGTGTTTACATTGCAAGATAGACTTTGGGCTGCTGTACTTCTAGTTATGGAGATGAAGGACCTGATCAGACTAAAGCTTTAGAAGACTGAAAATGAAGCTTTCTAAAGGTTTACAAAAGAGACAGTGTAAACTCTCGTACTGAAACTATGCACTTATATTGTAATAATACAAGCTCATTACCACTCTATTGTTAAAAACCTGTCTTTATGGTTTTTCTAAACTGTTATTTATTGTACCAAATTGCTTAAAAAGACAGGTTACCTGATTGGTATTCTGAAATTATGTTTAAACTCTTATTCAACAGAAATACTCTTGACCTGTTTTTAAATATAATAGTGCTACAGATTTCATACTTTTCTTTACTTGGATAAACTCTTTAGTACAATAGTTATACTTCCTTTTCTGAGGGTAACTGTAAAAGTCATTGCAACCTGTAATTGCTTTTTAATGAAAATGGTTGTTTGGTTGATTATAATGTTGTTCAATCTGATTGCATGCAGCCTACATGTTTAGTGAACATAGAAAGATGAGTCCAGCTTCTAAAAGGGGCACAAGCAGGATTTAATTTCTAAATTCTGAAGCACTGGCTGTCTGCTCTGACTTGGAAATTTGCTTTGTAACTTTGGACATGAAAAAGCTGGTTCAGAATTCAGAAGCTGCTGCTGAGCTGGTAAACCAGTATCTTGACTGTACCAAAGCTTCCCAACAGGAGAGAAGGCAACCAGGGCAACCCTGCAAAGCAAGAGACCACCTATCTCAACTCTCATGTACACCATTGGACCTGTCCTAACTCTGCTCCGTTGCTCACCAGAGGAGCCTAGTAGGGAAAGGTTGGAAGTTTAGTGAACACAGAAAGATGAGTCCAGCTTCTAAAAGGGGCACAAACAGGATTTAATTTCTATTTTCCCATATATTATTTGGGAGGCCCGGGAAGCTACCACCTCATTTAGCTTGAGGAGGTAGCTTCATTTAGGGGCCATACCACTAAAAGTTATTCCATATAGCAGCATTTCCTCCATGTAGAAGATCTGTCCATTGAGCTCTCTGCTGCATAGAGATAACCCATGTGCTGAACCGTTGTAGTCTTTTCACAGAAACATAGAAACAGAGCGAGTCAGACGGGGCCTCCCGGGCCATCTAGTCTGATCCCAGGCTCCAACCAACTCTGCTCACAACATGCCCACCATGTGCATGTCCAGCCTATCTTTGAACACCCTCACTGATGGGGCTTCAACCACCTCCAGTGGAAGCCCATTCCATACCCTCGGGGTCCTGACTGTCAGGAGGTACTTCCTGGCATCATTCAACATAGCCCAGAATTTAACTGGGCAATACAATCACATTACACCAATAAAGTCACCTACGGGGAAGAGGAGATCATCTTCTGAAACCACCAGGTGAGGTGTGGCTGAAGGCTACTGGGGAAGAAGGCTTTTCATGGTGGGAATTGATTGTAGAATTCCCCCTCCACCCCCAGGAGAGGCTTGTCCGGCTTGTTGTGATCTTTTCCATCTCAGGTGAAGACCCATTTCCCCCCTTCAGACTTTTGAAAATGGTTAGCATTTTTAAAAGAAAAATGTGGATATATATGTGGTTTTAAGTGCTATTTATACAACATTTGTGCTGCAGATAGTTCCGTTTTACTTCTTTGCTGGTGCATGTGTAGGCTACATCTTATTTTTGGTTTAACAAATTTCTTTTCTTTTATCTTTTATGCCATCTAGAGACCTTTTTTATTGTAGTGAATGAAAATGCTTGGAATACAATGGAAAATGGAGATAAATACTTGATCATGTTTTGCTCTACATATGTATAGGCATAAGGCCCTTCCTGTTTCTTCCACATGTTCCTGATGAGGTATTAATCCGAGAAAACTGATTATTCCTTTCTTCTGTTGTTTGATTCATTAAACTGTTGAGCTTAAAATTACATATTCTTTTTGAATTTGTTCTCCATTGCTTGGAGCAGCCTGAGTATGAAGTTTTGCAGAGTAGTTTTTATACATTTCCAGTTTGAATGGACAGATTGCTTGGCTTCCATCTATCTCTCTATCT